TTGAAGATTAGCGTAATATTTGGGTTAACTTGTTGACTTTTTTTTCTTTCTTTTTTTACATATATACTATTATCCGATGTTGGGTTGATTTGATTACCAGATAGAGTTCCCCTCACTTGGAACATTTGTTTATTTAATATAGTCTTTTTGTTAAATCAGGATGGGAAAGCTTATAATTATTTGCAGACCCATTATGTAATGGGAAGGAGAATCTATCAGTTTTTCTTTTTTTTTTTCTTCAGCATCCAGCCACGGTGGATTCATATGTTTAATAATACATTTATTTAATATTTGGGTTATTTTTTTCTTTTTTTTTGTTCACAATTTTTTCCTTTTGCTGTTGTTGCTACTGTTGAATATATGTTTTTTTCTTTTTTGCATTTTATTCTTGTTGATAAAAAACTAGATAGATAGATAGATAGATAGATAGATAGATAGATAGATAGATAGATAGATAGATAGATAGATATGCCAGCTACAACTATGCAATGCAATCAAAGCCCCATCCTTTTTTTATGGGCTTCAATTGCAAAGTTCTGGCCAATATCTTGATTTTTTTTTTTTTGCACTTCCCTGTTTACCCACCTCTAGTTACCTACTCTGATTCCACCTCCCTCTCCCTGCAGTGCCAAAAATGATGGAGGAGAATCTTGTAGCGATAAGTGAAGAAGAATGCTTCACCCTTTTTGAAACATCCTGGCCCTTTGGCTAGCATGCCTGCTCTAGAAACTCCCAATTGCTCACAATTGTCAGGCTGGGCTGGGGAAGCTAGCTGTCTGACTTTAAATCTGATACACAGAATGACTAATAAAATTAAAGCAAGTTTCTCCCTCCCTCCCTCCCTCCCTCCTTCCTTCCTTCCTTCCTTCCTCCTTTCCTCCTGTCCTTCCTTTCCTCCCTCCTTCCCTTCCTTTCCTCCCTTCCTCCCTCCCTCCCTCCTGTCTTTCCTCCCTCCCTCCCTCCCTCCCTTCCTTCCCTCTCTCCCTCCCTCCCTCGGTCTCTGCCTCTCCTCTACTTTCTGGTTCTGCTTACATCACTCTGGCTTCATATCCCCTGGTAATCTACATTGACATTAATTTCTGTCGATTTAGCAGCAAAGGATTGTTAATTTATTCCTGGTTTGAGAGAATCTGAGACCAAGAAGGGGGTAGTTCTCCAAGATGAATGAGCAAGAGGGAGAACACTTCTACTAGATACAAACACGGAGTACTCTTTATTTGTTTCACCCAAAGTCATGAATGCTTTGTCCTGATTAACAGCTTTGACCTATTTATAGCTGCACTGTTCGGTGTCATTATTGTGCCTCTTAGATATTGCACATAATATTTTCAAACCCAACTACTGTCGTATTTGTCTAGCGGATATCAACGCTGCTTGCCAGCCACTGAAATCAAAACCAGGGAGAGATTTTGAAAGCAGCACTTTGCAGAGATTATGGAAACTGATCTTTTGTGTCTGCAATTCAGTGTGGGCAAGGGAGGGGGGAGAGGCACCCTCCTCCTCCTTAATTTACTACAGTGTATCAAGGGAACATCGTTCCAATTATTCTTCCAGTGAAGGTCATTAACTGATCAAAATTAAGTCAATGTTTACAAAGTTTCTTTTTCTTTCTTTCCTTTTATTGAACCAGCATCGGGTTGGGTGGGAACAGCTTTGGAAGCAAGTGATAAAAATCATGTATTATATCTTAATCACCTCGTTGGCAAAAGGTCCATTTTTCTGGAGATAAAATGGATTCATTAGAGTCGTCCTCCATTCTCACATGCCCAGTTTCTTGGAGAAGCTGCCAAACGTTAATTACCAAGCTAAGCCATTTAATTTTGTTTGTTTAATTTGAAACAAAATTATCCTTCTGCCAAACTTGTGGGGAGAATCTGCTTTGTAATTTTTACAGGAGAGGAGTGGGCAAATTGCTTTGTCCAATACATTGCACCCAAAGCCAAGGGATTGCTTGGATTTTAGAAGTGCCAATGGTTGAGGCTTATGGTTAAGGCAGTCACAATCTTTCTCAAGCAAAGCCTTCGCCTTGGTTTTTCAGTGGAGGAAAACTCAAGAAGGGGGCCAAGATTGGCCAAATCCTACTGTTGACTAATTTAAATTTATTAAATTAATGCAATAGATTGTCATTCATTTATTTTTCCTTCAATCACGTGAAAAATGACCATTTCAGAGGAACTTCTGGAGACCACCCTAACTTTTGGCAAGGAACTCAAAGTTACGCATCCCTCGTTCATTCTGATGGAAAGCTTTTTAGTGGATGAAGAGGACTGAATTGAAAGAGGCAAAAACATAACCAGAATTATGAAAAGAAAACAATTTAGTGGGTCTCACGATTCCCAATATCAACTCCAAGCAGGATCTTGAGCTGCAGTTCTTTTAATCTCCATTATCATTGTCTCCGTCTCTCTGTGCCAAACCATCCAATCACTTTGCATATCCTGGGAGATTTATAAACAATTTGGGGATCTGAAAGACAGCAGTGAAAGCAGAAGATCTATAACCGTGGTTGGATGAATTGTAATCAATATCCGTCCTTATCGTTATTTTCAAATCTCAGTCCTGAGATTTGGAAAAGATCCTGTTTTGTTTTTAACACAGATTAATAATGAACTCTGGGAGGAGCACAAGCGTGATGCATAGTAAGACTTCTGTTGCTCGGAAGCATTCTCACTGGCGAGAAAGAATCCTTTGTCTTAGAAAGGGATTCTGGTTTTACAAAAGGAGAGTAAATAGTATTGGGAAAAGAAGGATGTAATTTACCAGGTTGATGTGAAGGAAAGAATGTGGCCAGAGAAACTACATTGAAATATTGCATCTAATTTTGGTTGCCACAATATAAAAAAGATGTTGAGACTGTAGAAATAATGCAGAGAAGAGCAACAAAGATGATTAGGGGACTGGAGGCTAAAACATATGAAGAACGGATGCTGGAACTGGGTATGTCTAGTTTAATGAAAAGAAGGACTAGATCAGTGGTTCTCAACCTTTTTAATGCCGCGACCCCCCAACCGGTCGTAAGTCGAGGACTACTCAACCAGTCGTAAGTCGAGGACTACTCAACTGGTACAGCACCGTTTGCAGAATGGGACTTTTGGCAGGCTCAGCAGGGCAGAGACAGCCTGGACAATTCCTATTGGCTTTCAAAAGCCAATAGAATAAAAGGGAGTAGCACAGCTAAGGAAAAGGGGAAAAAAATGGCGGACTGCATTGTTTGGCGACTCCCGTGAAATGGTTGTTCGACCCCAAATGGGGTCCCGACCCATAGGTTGAGAACCACTGGACTAGATGGAGCATGGTAGCAGTGTTCCAATATCTGAGGGTTTGCCACAAAGAAAAAGGAGTCAACCTATCCTCCAAAGCACCTGAAGGCAGGACAAGAAGTAATGGATGGAAACTAATCAAGGAGAGAAGCAACCTAGAACTAAGGAGAAATTTCCAGAGAATTAGAACAATTAATCAGTGGAATGACTTGACTCCAGAGGTTGTGGGTACCCCAACACTGAAGACTTTTAAGAGCAGAGGGTTGGACTAGAAGACCTCTCCATGTCCCGCCCAACTCTGTTATACTGTTTTTCTATTCTGCTATTCAGTAACTTAAGAGTTGGGTTAATAATCTTGTAACTGTAACCATAGTTACCTTTCATTGGTTATAACTGAATTTTAGACTCTGAACCTGCAGAGCTGGTCTCACAGAACTGTCCTTTACAGTCAGGTGTTTCTGCAGGATAGGTTAAAAAAAAAACGTCAAAATGGTGACACGAGGGTGTGATTGAAGCTTCAAAACGGGGGTCTTTTATGACTTGTGGACTTCAACTCCCAGAATTCCTCAGCCAGGCACTCTGGAATGAGGAATCTTGGGAGTTGAAGTCCAAAAGTCATAAAAGAGCCAAGTTTGAAGACCTCTGCTTCAAACAATATGCATAAACAAACTCACGCAGCTTTATTTGCATTCCCACGATAACTGTTTTGAGTGAAACACTTACCCCAGAAACATTGTGCAGAGGTACTGCATGGATTTCAGAGGAAGTCCTGGTAGATTTTTAGAGTAGGTGGTCCTAACTTACAACCATTCGTTTAGTGACCGGTCAAAACTACAGTGGCACTGAAAAACTCTGACTTACAACCAATCCTTCCACTGATGATTGTCACAGCATCCCCATGGTCAGGGGTAGGCAACCTTGGCTCTTTTATGACTCGTGGACTTCAACTCCCAGAATTCCTGAGCCAGCCATGCTGAAGGGAAAGGGAAAGGTTTCCAAGCTGAGCCATGCTGGCTCAGGAATTCTGGGAGTTGAAGTCCACGAGTCATAAAAGAGCCAAGGTTGCCTGCCCATGGTCATGGGATCAAAATTCAGACAGTTGGCAGCAGACATGTATTTATGGCAGTTGTAGTGTCTTGGGGGTCATGTGATCACCATTTGCAACCTTTCCAGCCAATCTCCAACAAACGAATTTAAAGGGGGAAACCAGATTTGTTGAATGACTGTGTGATTCACTTAACAATTGCATTAATTCATTTAACAACTGTGGCAAAAAAAGTTCTAAAATCAGGAATAATTCACTTAGCAACTGCCTTGCTTAGCAACAGAAATTATAGTCCCATTCGTGGTCAGAAGTCAAGGACTACTTGTATCAGTAAGAACAAGGTTTCATTGTTGTATCCTACTGATAAAAAAAATATTGCTACAATATCCATTCTGGGAAAATACTAGAATCAAATTACAAGCTTCAAATTGTTATATACCCAATAAATGGTCTTTACCTTTATTTATCTATGTGCAATAAAGACGTCTTATTTTTCCTCCCTCCAACTGTAAATATTTATATAAATTTCTGTTTTAAGGTAATACTCTGTGTATCTGAAATGGACATGTTGTAATAACTTTAAGATGCCGTTGTTTTAGTCATTTTTGTGGCAGTGGGCAATCGTGACTAATTTTTGTAAAACTGCACTTTTTTTTAAACTCCAACTAAAGAATCTTTTTTTTTTTCCCCTTCAGCTCCAGGGTTCCTTGAAGAGAAAACTGGTGGTAAATCTGACACCAGGCAATAACAAGAGATCAAATGGCATTGCTGACAATACTTTCCTGGATATTAAGCGAATCCGAGGTGGTGATAATAACCTTTCCATGGGACGTGGTCAGTGTGGTAACAATTGCCCAAACCAGTCAGTGTTGGGATCATTCTCAGTTGGACAAGGTGCTCCAAGGAAAATGGACAGCTCAACCAACAACAGTCATTCTGGGGCAAACGGGATGTTTAACATGACCCTAAAAGAGGTCAAAAAGGAACCCGGGGAGACAATTTCTTGTAGTAAGCATATGGATGGTCCGACATCCCAGAACAGTGTTTTTCCTAACAGATATGGAGAAGACACGGCGGAACAGTTGATGGACCCAGAACTTCAGGAGCTATTCAATGAACTGAGTAATATTTCTGTGCCCCCCATGAGTGATCTTGAATTAGAGAACATGATAAATGCCACCATCAAGCAAGATGAACCATTTAACATTGACATTGGTCACCAGATCCAGAGAGGAACCCCTGCCCAATCCTCTTCCTTGCAGATAGACAAAATGGTGATCAAACAAGAGTATTCACCGGGATTGAACCAGGCTTCGGTGGGATCACCTCAGATGAGGCCTCCTTCTACAGACTCAGCTTTCACTATATCTGGTGCTGCTATGTCCACCTCATCTCCCATTCCTTCAGTACCTCAGACTCAGACTCCTCCCTCTCAAGGGACATCAGTTCCCCCTCGGCCATTGGCCAATTGGCAAGAAGTTTCTCATGCCCAGCAATTGAAACAAATAGCAGCAAACAGGCAACAGCATGCTCTGATTCAGCAGTGCCAGCAAAGTCAATCGGCAACATCCTGGCCTGGTTTGTCATCTACAGAACCACCTTCTGGGTCGTTTGTGCAGGAGAAGATGTCTAGTCCATCTTTCCACCAGCAACAACAGTTCAGTCCACAAGGTCCCGCAATATCTGGTATCCCAGTCAATGGGACTCCATCCAAAGGAATGAACAGTTACACCTACCGGCCAAACTCCATGCCCCAGGGAAGTTCTGTCAACATGGTAATGCCCCGAAAGTCTCAAGACATCCCCAGAAATTATCTAAACAACAATCAGGTGTCACTGGAGGAACCTCAGAACAGTATCAAGCCTTTGTTTCATTTCAGCTCAGAACAAGCCAACAAGCAGATGTCTTCTGGTTTGGGAGCCCCACATAAACCTTCTCTTGTCCACTATGCACAGCAGCCACCCCAACAGCTGTCTAACTCAGCGGTTCAACCACAAACTTCGCAGCAGCAGCAGCCACATTCTGCACAATCTCTCCAAACTCAGCATCTCCAAAGGCCCCCCAACGTATCCTTAGCTTTACAGCAAAAGATCATGCTCCAGAAAATGCTCCAAAATCAGCCTGCTTCAGGACTACAGTACATGGGCCCGCAGAATCAGCTGGTAAGGTTTTTCTCCTATCACTTCTTTTCCTATCCATCGTATCGGGGTAAACACAGACAACTTTTCAAATGTGAAATGCTTTTGTGATGCATTACTTGATTTGGGAGGCCATGTAGTCTGACCTCCTTCCTTTCAGGTTCTCTGAACTATAAAAATGGTTGAGGAAAGAATTTTTCTTTGGAGGTGGGTGGGTAAGACTTCAGAGAGCTTTGCAGCCCCAAATTCAGCAAGTGCTCTTTTGCAGCAACAAGAAGCACAAAAGTTGTGCGACACTTCCACTTTGCAAATTTAAGCAAGGGAGGTGACTGGATTGCCATCTATCTTAGAGGCCATCATATGGTAACACTTTCCAGGCTGGTGGTAGCTGGTGGGAACATGATTTGGATTTGAGGAGACATGGAAGGATTGCTGCTAGGGCAGGGGTAGGCAACCTTGGCTCTTTTATGACTCGTGGACTTCAACTCCTAGAATTCCTGAGCCAGCATAGCTGACTCAGGAATTCTGGGAATTGAAGTCCACGAATCATAAAACAGCCAAGGTGGTAGGGAGTCAAGGACAGCTCACCACAGCCAAGTCGTCACTGCCAACTCGCCATGGGACAACTCACTGTGGGACAACTTAATGCAAGATAATTGTACTCTAGACCTGTTCCTCTCTTGATATTACCAGTAATATTATTAGTATTATCAATATTATTCCTAATATTATAGTTACCTCACATTAAGTTGTCCTGCAGCAAGTTGTCCCGAGGTGGCGAATTGGCCACAGTGAACTGGCCACAGAGAGTTGTCACATTCTGGCTGCTAGGATTATGTTAAAAAATTAAATAGCGGGGTTTTCTCTTTTGTTTTAGTTTTTTTTTATATAAACAGCTTGGACTGAAATCTATCTCAGCTTGATTTCTCTGTGACACAAGTGAATGTTGTTTTAAGGATCATTTAAAGGCAATTTGGATCTGATGTTAGGAGTGATTCAAAACTAGGCTCCCTGAAATCAGCTTTGCTCCTTTACACTGGAATCAGCCTTACTTTGAAGGAGAGTTTAGCCTTTTAAATGGGATAAACATCCTTTACTTAGCTGGAATAACAGTGATGTAATTTGGACTGGAAAGTCCAGAGGGAGGAGCCATGAGGCAAAGTGGGTGTGGGAGAATCGCTAGAATTTTCCCTTTTTTCCCTAAAGTTCGAGGAGGTATGGGGAAGTGGCTACTTTAATCATGAATTACCTTCTAGTTAACTTTCGCTAATTTGGAAAAACTATGCAAGTCAGATCTGATTATGAATGAGCTGTGATGGCACAATAGTATTGCAGGCTAACTCTACTTACAGCCAGGAATTCGATCCTGACCAGCTCAAGGTTGACTCAGCCTTCCATCCTTCTGAAGTTAATAGAATGAGTACCCAGATTGTTGGGGGCGATATGCTGACTCTGTAAACTGCTTAGAAAGGGCTGTACAGCACTATGAAGCAATATATATCATAAGTCTAACTGCTAGTGTATTGCTGTTCCTGGACACAGGACCATCAGGAAATCCTACATAAGTTAGATTGGAATGTTGAAGAAGCACTTGGAAAAAAAACAATCTAATAGCAAACTAACATTATATTGTTGCTAAAATAACTATACAATCATGTGGTCAGTAACAGTAGAACCTGACTCAAGGATTCTTTACTTTTGTGTATTTTAAGGAGCAGTACCCTTGTTCTGTATTTTGAAAGCTCAAGATATTACACTGCCTACTTTCTATATTTATGACTGCCAAAATTTGCAGGACTGTTGGCCAAGAGGAGACAAAGAGAACAAATTCACAAAAAAATGTGCTTTGAGGGCTGCATAGGATTCTGGGCTGACAGATTATCCAATCCTGTTTTTAAATAATGAGTATATCATTTCCCAATTCCATGAGTGTGTTTCCCTCTCTCTGTAGGGTGTTTTGACCATGCTTTTCTTGCCCAATTCTCTCAAGATACATTACCTAAGATCTCACCGCAGAGTTATCTAAACTATTTTCATCCCTGCTTCTTCTCCTCCATTAATCCATCAACAATAAAGAGAGGGAATAATAAGTTATAACAAATAAAAAATGTGTTTAAAATTGGTTTATTCTGCCTTTATTACTTTATAAGTAACTCAGAGTGGTGAGCACACATAATAGTTCTTCCTCCTCCTATTTTACCACAACAACAAATAATCCTGTGAGGTGGGTTGGGCTGAGAAAGAGTGACAGGCCCAAAGGCAGGACTAGAAATTCACAGTCTTCTGAGGCCTAAAGTTACTTTCATACCTAAGGTGGTACTAGAAGAACTAATAGCCTCCTGGTGTCTAGTCCAGCACTCCTTAGGTCACATCCAGTTTGATGTAGTGGTTAAGACGTCAGGCTGGAGACCATGAGTTCTGGTCCTGCTTTAAGCATGAAACCAGCAAGTGATCTTTTGTGACTCAGTCTCAATTCTAGGAAGGAGACAGTGACAAACTGTTTCCCAAATCTTGGCAGGAAAACTGCAAAGACAATCCCAGGCAGACTCCAGGAATTAACAGTGACTCAAAGGCACAACACCTCCCCAAAATTTTTCTTAATGATGAGAACAGCAGTGCAAGGTGTAAGTTTCATTTGCTTGCTTATGATGCTACAGGGAATACAGTATAGCAAATTGATGAACATAACATTTCTTTCTAGTCTGGGACTTCTCAGTTTTCCCTCAGACAGCTAGAAGGAAATCAAAAGGAGAGGTCTACTGTAAGTTTGGTCAGGAAACAGGACCATGGTCATAACGAACATTTTACAACAGTTGCAGAGTTGAATGAGTGACATCCACAGAGACATGTGGCAAAAAATGCAGTGACCTCATGATACAAACTCCGCCATTTATATATTTGTATGGGACATTACAATGCAAACAGAAAGAACCGAGTTAGTGGGACATCACAATTTATTTTTTGGTTATTTATGCATAATAGTAATTAAGAATTAAGGCTTGTGCCAATGCACTTTAAGTAAAAGATGTCACTAGCACACCTACCCAGAATTCAGCAAGCTGCCAGCTACACCGAGCCTGAATTTATTTTAGGTTATTTTAATTAGAAATCATAACACCTGTGAAGCTTGGTAAGTTGCAGAGGAAAGCAGGCATCTTCGTATGGTGCTTATTTCCATCTCTGTGCTTCATATAGCCTACTGAGGCATCCTTAAGAAATAAATATGGTGGGTGGATGCATTCCAGGGTTGGAAGCAAGCCCACCGGTGGTTGTACTCACTAAAGCAACCAATTTGTGAAAGGACAGCTATCTAATCTTCAAGTCTTGATTTTCCAAAAACTCCAGAATGTTCTGGTTTGGATATGGAACAAATTCATCTCATTATTTCAAAGATGATCCAGCAATGTTCTGAAAGTGAAATCTTCCAGTTGGAAGACTTTCATGGTCACACTGCAGGTGGGTTGGGCACAATATTAACTGCTTCATTTCAGAAGATAAAAGTTCCAGAATACAACTAGACCATTCCCCTGAGAGGCCAAACCAGCCTGGTCCATAATAACCCAGAGTAGTCCATTCCTACAATGATAGGTTTTATACATCTCTACAAATAGCTCAGTGGAATAGTTTGCCTCCTGCAGTTGTGGATGCTCCATCACTGGAGGTTTTCAAAATGGACTGGGCAACCATTTGACTGGATTGGTATAAAGCAGAGGTCTCCAAACTTGGCAAGTTTAAGACTTGTGGACTTCAACTACCAGAATTCCCCAGCCAGCATGGCTGACTGAGGAATTCTGGGAGTTGATTGATGTCCATAAGTCTTAAACTTGTCAAGTTTGAGACCCCTCATATAGGGTCTCCTGCTTTGAGCAGGAAGTTGGATTAGAAGACCTCCAACATCCCTCACAGTCCTAAGATTTTAACTCAGTTTATGAAAGGACCTAAAAGCCCCACAAATGATTGCTTAACCACTCTCTAAATAAAGGAGACAAAAGAGAGAAAGGATTGTTTTATGGTCAGTGTAACTCTCAGCAATATACTTAAATCGGACACAATTGAACAGAAGACAAAAACTTTAATAGTACTACCAGTATAACCAGTTGGAAACACCAACCCACAATAAAAGTATTTTTTTTTATTTTTCCAAGAAAATCTAATCAAGAGTTGAACTCACATCATGTGCTGTATGAGTAATAGTAATAAAGTTGGAAGGGATCTTGGAGGTAATAACAACAACGACAATGACAACGACGCCGATGATGATGATGATGGAAGGGACCTTGCAGGTCATTGAGTCCAACCCCCTACTCAGAAAGGAAACCTTATACCAGGGGTAGGCAACCTTGGCTCTTTTATGACTTGTGGACTTCAACTCCCAGAATTCCTGGCTCAGTCATAAAAGAGTCATGGTTGCCTACCCCTGCCCTATACTATTTCAGACAAATGGCTGTCCAGTCTCTTCTTAAAAACTTCCAGTGTTGGAGCAGTCACAGCTTCTGGAAGCAGGTTGTTCCGCTGATTAATTGTTCTAACTGTCAGGAAGTTTCTCCTTAATTATAGGTTGCTTCTCTCTTTGACTGGTTTCCATCCATTGCTTCTTGTCCTGCCTTCAGGAGCTTCAGAGAATAGCTTGACTCCCTCTTCTTTGTGGCAGCCCCTGAGATATTGGAACACTGCTATCATGTCCCCCCTTGTTCTTCTCTTCATACCCAGTTTTGGCAACTGTTCCTTATATGTTTTAGCCTCCAGTCCCCTAATCATCTTTGTTGCTCTTCTCTGAAAAAGTCTCAACATCTTTTTTAGATTGTGGTGACCAAAACTGGATGCAGTATTCCAAGTGTGGCCTTACCAGGGCATTGGTGATATATTTGCTACAGTGCAGACATATAATATCCATTTAGCTCTGCCCTAGTTAGCATTGAGAGATATTAGAAAAAGAAAGGTATTGCAGAATCAGCCTCAATTCCTGTGGTTCATTTCTGCAGTTTTCTTCCTATGATTTAGATGTGATTTATGATGGCCATCTC